TTTTTTTTTTTTTTTTGGTATCGGACCTGGGGGAAAAATCTTCAAAAGATACAAATGGCCCGTACCATTTGCATGCCCGATTCATGCACGACTCAAATTGAGTCATACATGCCTACGGACTAAAAAGTCCCCTACATTCTCAACTCAAAATCCTGAAAATCCCTGCAGTACGACCAATTAAGGTATTCCTTCACAGGGCAGGTTAGAAGAGCACTTAGCGTGCATTCACTCCGATTGTGTATTAAGTATTTCGTCCGCTCTAACAGTATTTATTGTTCTAGAGATTATGCTCTTGTAAAAGCTCCATTCTTCGATGCTTGCCAACATCTGCATTACCATAGTAGAAGGGCTGGATTCCCCAATTAGTGTCTCTAGATTTTGTCTAGTATCTACGAATCTTATACAGTCTCTAATTATGTGGTCAGGACTCTCAATTTTATCTGAACAGGACGGGCAGTACGGGTTACTTGCTAGCCTAAACCGGTATAAGTATTCACGGAAGCAGCCATGCCCCGTAAGAAACTGTGTTAATTGAAATCCCAAGTCTCCAGATCCTCGGTTAATCCAAACTCTTATATTTGGAATTAACGAATGCGTCCATCTTGATTTTTGGGAATGGTCCCACCTATGTTGCCATTCATTAAGGTATTTGTCTCTTATATCTAGATAAGACTCTGCCAGAGATTGCGCAGTTTCAGTCGTTCGCCGACGAGAGCGCTGTAAGAAATTGTCTCTGGCCAAGAACGCTTCAAGGTCTATTGGCATGCGTCCAGCCAATACTCCCGCAGCATCGTCCGATACTGTACGGTAAGCACGGCAGATGCGTAGGTTTGACAATCTATGTGCACTTTTCATTACACGTGAATACGACTTAATGGTTGTAGCATGTGCCCACACCGGAGCAGCATAAAGCATCACCGACTTGGAAACTGATGCTAAAAGAACTCTAGCGGTGTCCTTGGGACCTCCTATGTTTGGCATTAATCGAGATAATGCGTTGCAGACACGTGATGCTTTATCTCCCGATTGTTTTAGGTGAGTTTTGAAACTCAACCTACCATCTAAGGTTACACCAAGATATGTAAGTTGGGGGCTAGATTGTATATCTACTCCACCCACTTTAATTGAGAGTTGTTCAATCTTTTTCCTACTGCTGATTAATAGCACCTCAGTTTTATGTTCAGCAAGCTCTAATCCGCTGTATTGCAGCCACGATTTAGCTGCTGCAATAGTAGCGCTGCAATTCCTAGCCACTTCGTCTAGAGTTTTTGCAACCACTACTATTGCAATATCATCTGCATACCCAACTACGTGCACTCCGTCCGGCTTTTCAATTCGAAGGATACCATCGTACATGATATTCCAAAGAATTGGCCCTAGAACTGATCCCTGGGGGACCCCTCCCGTAATCCTATATATTTTGGGTCCGGATTCTGTATCATATAAGAGTAATCTGTCTTTAAAATACGATGTTATAATTTTCAAAAGATATTCTGGGACTCTCATTTTCATCAGTGCATTTAAGATGCTACTCCACTCAGCAGTGTTGAAAGCATTTTTAACGTCTAAGGTCACTACCGCGCAGTACTTTTTAGTACCACCTAGCCACCTTACGCCCTTAGTAGCTTCCTTTGCAATGTTGCATACATGTAGTACAGCATCAACAGTACAGCGTTTAGGTCTAAAGCCAAATTGGTTATTTGATAGACCCTGACTTGCCTCTGTGAATTTTTCTAATCTAGAACTTATAATTCTTTCAAGGACCTTACCTGCAGTGTCTAATAAGCATAAAGGTCTATAAGATGATGGCAGTTCTGGGTACTTATTACCTTTAGGAATAAGCACCAATCTTTGCTTTTTCCAACACGAAGGGAAGATTCCTTCCTGTAGGCAGCTGTTGTAAACATCCGTAAATATAGAAGCTTGTTTTTGTATTGCCTTCTTCAGTACAGTATTGGGGATTCCATCCAAACCAGGAGATTTATTGGGCTTAACTCTGGAAGAAGCGGCTATGACTTCAGAATTTGTAACCGGAGGTATCTCATTAAAATCGGTGTTTATCGGTATTAAAATTCTAAGTTCTCCCTTTTTTGGGAACAAATGTTTCACGATATTCGCCATTATTTTAGGACATGAAGGTACCGAGCCTCTTAACCTCTTAAATTTACGCATTACTATTTTGTAGCCATCGCCCCAGACATTTTGGTCTACATCATTGATCAGAGTTTGAAAAGCTTGATTCTTACTCCTAATAATTGCCTTTTTAAGTTTAGATCTGTTCTCTCGGTATTTTTGTAGAAGCCTTTCCGCATCTACTCCAGATCTGTGACGTTGGAATTGCCTACGGGAGGCAAAGCACTGAGATCTTAGTAAAGCTATTTCTTCCGTCCACCAATAGTTTGATGGGCGCCCATTACCTCTGCCTTTTCTTGGCATTGATGCATCACAGACGTTGCATAATTCCTTCATAAGGTGATTTGATTTTTCAAAAGCATCCCCGACTCCGAAACTCATGTTTTCGGTCATGAATTCCATTATCTCTGTGGCAAGATACTTAGTTTTCCAGCCTATTTGCTGTGCTTTTCTCGGCGATTTTTTCAAAACAAACTTCTCTTTTAGCGATAAGGAAAAAAGAATTGCATGATGGTCGCTGTGGGTGTAGTGGTTTGTTACATTCCATTGCGAACCCCTTACTAATGACGGGCTGACAAAGGTGAGATCTATGTAGGAAACGCCTCTACCATTATCGAACGTTGGGCTATGCCCATTGTTCAGTTGTATTAGGTTTAGTGAGGTAAACGTTTCTAATAGGGCTCTACCTCGGCGCGTTGTATTACTACTGCCCCATTCGACTGCCCAAGCATTGAAATCCCCTGCAACAATGATGGGAGTTTTGTTTCTGATTGTTCCTGATAGCCTATCAAGAAACTCTTCAAATCTCTCTTGGGAGATATTTGGGGATATGTAACAGCTGCACACATAGATACCCCGGATTCTGACAAGTACTAGACCTTCTTTTTGTATCAATACTCTTGGTTCAAACACTATGTCCTGTCCTAGCCAAATGGCAGCCTTTGCAGTAATATCTTGTACCCATTTGGAGGTTTCTTTTGATTTGTAAAACTCACTAATTATGAGTACATCTGTCTTTAATTCCAAAGCTGTTTGGGATAAAAGGTCTTGGGCAGCTTCGCATCGATTTAGGTTCAATTGCAGAAATTTAATCATTTTTTGGACTTAAGCTCCTGTATAGCCTTCCTGTAGAATTCACATTTGGAACTTCTTGAGTAGTGTAGATTGCCACCGTTGCAGTTTTCCGGACATAGGATGCATTTTGGTTGCGCCGAGCACGTTTTTGCCTTGTGACCATCTTGTCCACATCTCATACATGTGCCTGATCTGTCATTATCGCTTTTGCACTGTCTAGCAGCGTGTCCAAATTGAAGACATTTGAAACACCTCATGGGTGTGATATGCTTTCTGATCCTACTGCGTACCCAGCCAACTCTGACTGAGGCAGCTGCAATCAATACACTGGCATCCTTAGTAGGAAGGTCAATAATTGCTGATCTTGTGCTGTCCCTTGCGGCACGCCAAAACTTGACGTTGATGTCACTTACATTTATTGCTGGAAATTGATCAGCAATCGCCGCGCGCACCTCTTCGTTGGATGTTATCTCGTCCAAATCCCTGCATTCTATTAGGGTGTGCTGTGTTAAAGATTTTACACTAGCACAATTCTGAAGTGTGTTTTTCATTTCATTGCAGAAGTCCTTCGCTAAATTTCCAGCTTCTTTGGTAAGCTGAATCAATATTTCCCCCTCTTTAGTTTTTCGGATTTTGTTCACGTTTTTTCCGAATTCTTGTAGCTCTGGTTTTGTTTTAATGATCTTTAACATTTCAGCGTAAGACTTGTCTGCCGTCTTACTAATGAGAATTGATTCCGGTTTTACTCTAGGCGCTTTAATGAGGTCCAGATTTGGCACAGTTTTCCCTTTTTTCTTTTGCACTAGCTGCCATTTGTGAAAATTCGTTTCCTGCTCCTTACTTCCAATTTCTCTAATTTGGACTTTGGGTGGTGGACCGTTCGGTTTTTCTTTCGCAGCACGCTTTAGTGCTCCCTGAGTTTGCACGCTAATGGAAGCTACACTCTTAGCCACCAACGGCACTTGTGGCCCCCTTTCTTGTTCCGTCTTATACATCTTAACTATCTGTGCAAGCAGATCCCGCATATCCTTATTAATATGCCTTTGTGATTCCATCATCGCAGATAGTTGTACCAGCTTATCCTCTACACTATCATCAGGCTTGGGGGATAAAGGTATGTTTAATACCTCCTTCTCCATTTTGTACTGCGTTTTGTTTCCGCAGAGGTGATGTTTTTTGCCCACTCATACCTTTTCGATACCCTACTAATTTAATTAGATTTAATTAAATTAAAAGGGTATCCTAAATTAATTAAATTAAAATAATTTAATACCTGTAAATTTCAAATGCTCAAAATTCCAAATTCAAGTAAAAATTAAAATTTGCTAATAAATTTAAAATTTGCTAATTAAATTAAAATATTCTGCTAAATTGCTAAATCAGTGTACAAGATTACACGATTGTTTAGGTTTTTGTGTAACAATTGATCTAATTATTTGATCGTTTTGTAACACTTATTCACTTTATAATGTTTCTGTTTAATAATTTCAATTGCTGTCTCTATCAGCTGATTTTATATGTGTGCAATTATTTTGCAAAACAAAAAAGCGCACAAAGTCAAACAAATTCAATAAGAATAAAAACAAAATATGTAAATTCAAAAAGTTGAATAATTTAAAATGAAATTTTTTAAAAAATAACACTTATCGGCTGCAGCTCTTTATCGCTCCAAGTGAGTACATTATATTCCACCGCATTTAAGAACTTTTTGTTGTTACAACACTTCAATTGCAGGAAATATATACCGAACTAGCGGACCGCACTCGAGACGCATGTATTCGCGGCAAAAACAAAACTTTTACTGCTGTATACTACATGTAGCCATATGTTTATGTATATACAATGTTTATATACATGACATGCATACAAACATGTTTATCGGTTCATTTGTTTATCTGTGCGATTCAATGATTTTGCATTTGTACTTGAAGTTTGAAGTTAAGTTCTTCATTGTTTAAGTGCAAATTTAAGCAAATATATGCATTTCACGCATATTCAGTTTTTAATTTATGCCTTTTACATAATAAAATTAATTTAATCATAATAAATAAATGAAATGTTATTGCTTTCAATATTGTCATGCAATAATGGGTTTAATGAATTGTGTTTACTCTCGAATGAATATCATTATTTTTGATAAATGCTTGCCTGTTATGTCTTTTAACAAATAATTTTATTTTCAATTAAACACGTATCTAAATAAATTTCTTATTGATTTCAAACGGATGTAAATATCTTATCTTTTCGTATCACTTGATATCAGCATTACTTAAATATATAAATTTAATGAAAATGTTGCTGCAATCGCTATTATTTCATTTATAAAATAAACATATGAATCTCATCAATATATGCAATTGGTTAGGATAGCTAATAAATCGCTTAATTTATTTGTTTAATTTTAAAATGTTTACTTAAATTAAGTTAAAAAACAACACTCCAAGAAGTATAGAGCAATTAATTTAATGAATATTTAATTGATAAAATTTTTTATATTAGATACACAACATATAATATGGGAAAAAACAATTTTATAAATATTTATCATTTTCTTAGGCGGAGAAACCAATCTTCCGGTATGATCGCCAAAACTGGAAACTTGCAAGCTAGCTGAGTATTGAATACTAAATCCTTAGTCCTTGATTACAAAACAATAACAAAGAGAATATTGATATTTCTATATTATATTGATATATATTTATTATATCAATATAATATTATTATTATATTTGTTAATAATATTGATATATATTTTATATTCTCTCTCTCCCTCTCACTCTTTCTCTTTGTCCCTCTCTCTCACCCTTTCTTTCTGTCCCACTATTTCTCTCACTCACACTCTCTTTCATTCATTCTCTCTCTCTCTTTCTTTCACTCTCACTCTCTCTGTTCAATCTAAAGAAATTTATTAAGGAAATAAAAATCTTGATACTTTTTAGGCGTTTTTTTTTCTCCTTTAAGCTTGATAGACTATATAGCCTTATTATTTCTCACATTAATTAACATATTCTTCTAAAATAAACTT